ATGAGTATCAAGCAGCAAGTGAAGTTAAAAATTATTTTCTCATTGAGGCCATGTAAATACAGTACACTAAAAACAAATGTCCAATAAAGGATTTAATTTTTCATTAGCAATTTGGAATGATTCTAAATATTTAAGTATATTGATATCATTATTTTTTTTAATTATTTATTTATTTATTTGACAGAGAGAGACACAGTGAGAGAGGGAACACAAGCAGGGGGAGGGGGAGAGGGAGAAGCAGGCTCCCCACAGAGCAGGGAGCCCGATGTGGGACTTGATCCCAGGACCCTGGGATCATGACCTGAGCCGAAGGCAGTCGCTTAACTGACTGAGCCACCCAGGCGCCCTATTGATATCATTATTATGTCTTTGTAGAAATTCTTAATTTCCATTGTACTTTTATATTGCCATTGAAATAAGTAATAAATTGGAGGTCACGAATCAAATTGAGTTATCCAGTGAAGGTTCAGGAGATTTAAAATTGAGCTTTATTTGAGCTTTCTAGTCATTCTTCACCCTGAATTAAATAAACACAGTAAAATGGACAGTTTCTTTTTTATATATAAAGCAGAGCTATACATACATAACTATATAGACCGCAGGTCTGTGTTACTGAGTTTTCTTGGAAGTTTCAATTACATAAACATTCAAAACACTGTAAACGGAGGGGGCAATAAGAAAAAGAATCGGTTGAGAAACCCATGCTCCAAACCCAAGGAGAAAGTGCAGAAAGGAAAGCAAAAAGAGAAGTAGAAAGTAAGGGCAACGTTCAGAAATTGAAAACTCCCATGTCCCCTACTTAAGCCACACACACAAGGGAAGATGTTCAGAGAACCTAGAGCCACGGTTCCCAGACTTGCCCACCCCAGCCAGGCCAGCAGCATCTGCAGGATCCCCAATGGCCCTGCCCTTTTCCTTCTTGGTGGCCCTGGTGGTGCTCAGCTGCAGCTCCCTCTGCTCTCTGGGATGTGAGCTGCCTCAGAGCCATGGCCTGTTCGCCTGGAGGGCCTTGACGCTCCTGGGACAAATGAGGAGAATGTCTGCTAGCTCTTGTGACAAGTACACAAGTGACTTTGCCTTCCCCCAGGAGGTGCTTGATGGCAAGCAGTTGCAGAAGGCTCAAGCCCTCTCTGTCGTCCATGTGATGAACCAGAAGATCTTCCACCTCTTCTGCACAGAGGCCCCATCTGCTGCTTGGAACGAGACCCTCCTAGAGGAGTTCTGCTCGGGACTTTCTGAGCAGCTGACCGACCTGGAAGCCTGTCCCATGCAGGAGGCGGAGCGGGCAGAGACTCCCCTCATGAATGTGGACTCGATCCTGAGGAACTACTTCCAAAGAATCTCCCTCTATCTGCAAGAGAAGCAATACAGCCCTTGTGCCTGGGAGATTGTCAGAGCAGAAGTCACGAGCTCCTTGTTTTCATCAACGATCTTGCAAGAAAGATTAAGGAGCAAGAAATGAGACCCATTTCAACATAAAATGATTTTCATTGACTAATAATCATACTTTCCCTTGTTCTGCTGTGTCAAAGACTGTCACTTTTGCTGTTATGGTGACATGAACAGTCAATTTTTCAAGTTTTTTCTGAACATGTGAACCATGCAAGCAGTATTTGCTTACAGATGACCATGTTCATGTATTTATATATTTAAATATTTATTTTTGTTAATATTTATAAGATTCAGATTTTCATATAATATGTGCACCTTTACATTGCAGAATATAATAAAATATATTTTTAATATTTAATCAGTTTATCACTTTTTTCTTTATTGAATGGTTTTTTTATTTATTTATTCATTTTAAAGATTTTATTTATTTATTTGAGAGAGACAGAGAGAGGGCACACAGAGAGAGAAGGAGAAGCAGTTTCCTCGCTCAGTGGGAGACTGAAATGGGGCTTGATCCCAGGACCCCAAGATTTTATTAACTTGAGAGTGAGAGAGAGAGAGAGAGAGATCAGAAGCAGGGGCAAGGGGGAGAGGGAGAGGGAAGAGCAGACTTCTTGCTGAGCAGGGAGCCCAAGGTAGGGCTCCATCTCAGGACCCCGAGATCATGACATGATCCGAAGCCTGACACTTAATCAACTGAGCCACCCAGGTGCCCCTCTTTATTGAACTTTTACTACTGGCATTCTTTTAAAAGAGTAACACTAAGTCTAATTGTGCAACTTGATTGAAAATTGGATGGCAATGCATTTACCCATCATACTACATTAACATTGGAAATAACAACTCACTTCCTGTAAGACAACTTGCATGTTATCCTTAGGCTATAGGACACAATAAATACAGTTCCTGATGTCTATATCTTTCATTATTATAGGTATAGGAATCTAAAAACATTCCTCAGACTTGGTGTTATAATAAAGAAGGGAAGGAAGTGAATTCTCTCACCTGGTGCCAAAATGGAGGTGGTCAGAAAGTACAAATAAAAGGTGTGGACCCCTGGACAGGTGACTGGTAGACATGGAGGCACAAATGTCCAGTGTCAGGGGAGAGGTGATCTTGCATTTGACAAGAAATGCCATGGCTGAGGTCCATATCTAGCAGGGAATGCCAGAAACAGAGGTGTTCATGTGGGGAGACCGTGTAGTGTGATAGACATAAACTTGATTCTGAGGCTCTCCAACCATTGAAGGGAGGGGAGAGAAGAGCCACAAGGAGACAGTGGACTCATGGCCATACAGTACGTGGATAATAAGAGAGGATGCCGATGAGTATATTTAAGGACATAAATGTGCTTCGAAGACCATCAGTGGATTCCTGGAAGATGTGGATTGAAACTGCCTGGCGTGTCAGAAAACTAGATGCCTTTGCTGACCTCATGACAGTTGGTTGGGTGGAATCATAAGCAGAGACCACACTGGAGCTGATGGGAGCATAAATAAGAGAAGTCAGTGGATCTGAAGTGGAGAAGAATATGGCATGGGATCTGGGAATAATGGGGTTCGTTTTTCTGTGCATAGTTTGCCCTTTTATGCTGTATGTTTCTTCTGGAGTGATTTCATGGAATTGATGTTCTGGCAAATCTTATTAATGGGTTTAATATTGTATTTAGTGTGAATCATGACTTAATTACTGACAATGGTTTATCCTGTCTTGGTTCTTACTACCTTGTATATCAAAGTTGCTCAGCTTTAAGAATTCACTAGGCAGGAATAGATAACTCATTCAATCCTTCATCAAATTATCTATTACTACTGATAAAAAAAAAAGTTCCTGGAATGACTGGCTTTATTAATTATGTTCCTTAACTTCTCATTGTGATCCTGTTTACTACAGCAGCATTATACCGCATTTCTTTTTCTAGAGAGTTTGATATGATAAGAATCTTTTTCTGTTACTCACTGGTAATGTTACCTAATTTTATGAACATCACAATCTTTAGTGCATCTCCGAATAACAAAGTACTCATGCACATGAAGACTGACAGACTTTCTTCAAAAATGAGAGTGGCAAGCTGTTCAGACATTCTCTTTCTTAATATTTAAAGCAAAGAAAAAAAATTTGGTCAAAATCAGCTGAAAATACAACATGAGTCATGGAAATCCATAGAAGAGTGAGTTGTATATAACTCAGGAGTAAAAACAGATTTAACAAGTATAACAGAATATTGTGAATATTAACTGAACTCATGCACTTTAAAGGCACCTAGCATTGCATCTTCCATAAAGGAACGACTTAAAATGTGGTAGGTATCCTCTTATCCTCTTCAGAACTGTGTGTCCTACGCTTCAGTAACTGACCTCCAAAGGGGAGACTAATGAGTGTTCAGGAATTTAAGTAAAAGATTGAACAATAGGAACACCTGGGTGGCTCAATTGGTTGAGCACCCGACTCTTGATCTCAGCTCAGGTCTTGATCTCAGAGTGTGAGTTCAAGCCCCACGTTGGGCTCTGCCCTGTGTGTGGAGCCTACTTTAAAAAAATGAAAAAATTGAAAAGTAAGAACTGTGGTGGCAAATAAATGTATTCCCTTACTCAAGGCAAAATGATTACAATTGGGTCTTTCCTCCAGTTTGACAAAACACACATTCACCCTCAGCATCTAAGGGCTGTTGACACTTTTGATACCTGGTCAGGAGAGGAGGAGGTCAGCACCGAGAGCTAGGGTCCCCAGCACAAACACTCCAGGGGCAAGGGCAAGGATCCAGGGCCAGTCATTGCTTTGCTGACAAGGAAACCAGCCCCTGCACAGTAGGGGCATCTAAAGTCCTCAGGACATGCTGAGCCTGCCCTCAGGGAGTGAGTCCAGGAGAGCCTGGGTGGAAGACACTCAGTCACTCCAGAGGAAAAATGTTAGTAGAGGTGATAACTACCTTGTCAGGGAGGTGTGGCTAGGAAAATCCAATTATCTGGAATTAGAATCTTCACACCTCCACATCCAGACAAGAACCAGGCTTCCTGCTGGGGACACTGGCACAGCCTAGGAGCAGTGTAGACAGTTTATAAAATGACAGAGAAAGGACAGTGTCTGTACGAGCCCTGCCCCTGAGGCCCCAGTGAACATAACCACATGGACCTGCATGAATTATTTCTAGAATGAAGAGAAAAATTGGAGAGTCTTTCACTCATTACCATAAGCCTCTGTTGTGAATATAACAGTAAATAAAACTCAGTTCTGGTTCTAGAGAGCTTCTGTACCATACCTGGTTTGGTCGGTACCTAACAAGATTCAAATCCATAGAGACCAAGGAGCCCGTCTCCCTGTGTAAGGGAAGGAGGGTAAACACTTCGTCCAGAATCAAGGCCAAATTTTGTCCTCACACAAAGAAGAGCAAAGTTCTATAGTAAAATAGATATGTGTGTAGGTGTGTGAGTATTCAGTCCATACATACCTACACCACCTCAGTCTTCAGGACAAAGATGTCTCTCATTTGGCCGAGAAGTATCCACGTGGATGGACCCATTGTAAGTTTACTGGGAAAATCAGCTTCTGTTGTGAAAGTAATGATCTAGGTGGAACACATCTTCTTAGATAATAGGGAGAATACATAAATGAAAACAAACAAACAAAAAAAGGAAGTAAAAGCGAAGAGGAACGTTCAGAAAGTGAAAATTTCTGCGTTCCCCACTGAAAAGCCATGCTGGGAAAGCCTGTCTTCAGAGAACCTCGGCTCCGAGTTCACCAGACGCCCAGCCCGGCCGGACCAGCGGCAGCCTCGTCTTCCCCGCGGCCCTCCTGCACACTCTGCTCCCGCCCCGGGGGTGCTCACCTGCGGCCCTGAGGGCTCTCGGGGCTGGGCCCTGCCTCGGAGCCACGCGCTGGTGAGCAGGGAGCACTTCGCGCTTCTGAGCCACGCAAGGAGACTGTCCCCTCTCTTCTGTCTGCAGGACAGCAACGCCTTCAGACTCCCGCGGGAGATGGTGGAGGGCAGCCAGCTGCAGAAGGCCCAGGCTACGTCCGTCCTCCAGGAGCTGCTCCCGCCCTCCTTCAACCTCCGCCTCGCCGAGCACGCCTCGGCTGCCTGGAGCTCCCCCTGCTGGACCAGCTGCGTTCCGGCCTCCATCGGCGGCTGCCAGACCTGGACACCTGCTTGCTGCGGGCTGTGGGACGGGAAGATTGTGCCCTGGGAATGGACCGCCCGACACTGGCCCTGAAGAGGTACTTCCGGGAAATCCGTCTCCTGGAAGAGAAGAAGTACAGCGACTGCGCCTGGGAAATTGTCAGAGCGGAAATCGTGAGATCCTTGTCTTCATCCAACAACTTCCAAGATAGGTTAGGAATTAGGGAAGGGACCTGGGGTCATCTTGAAATGACTCTCACGGACAAATTTGCCGTATCCCGCCCCGCACCTACGTCTGGTCACCACTGCAAGGGGCTCTCATTTCTGCCTTAGTAGAGAAGTTATTGAATTTAATTCAGCAAATATTTCGTGAATAGTATGAAGCAAGAATATGTTAAAAAGGGGCACCTGGGTGGCTCAGTCATTAAGCGTCTGCCTTCGGCTCAGGTCATGATCCCGGGGTCCTGGGATCGAGTCCCACATCGGGCTCCCTGCTCAGTGGGGAGCCTGCTTCTCCCTCTGCCACTCCCCCTGCTTGTGTTCCCTCTCTCGCTGTATCTCTCACTGTCAAATAAATAAATAAAATCTTAAAAAAATGTTAAAAAAATCCAGCTTCAGGATCATTAATTCCTAAGAGATGACTGCCCTGATACTTTCTGGCTCATTCATTCATTCATTCACTCATTTCTTCTTGCACCTATCACATTTATAGATCAGAAATGATATATAACGAAATGTTTATCTTTTCACTGCATTAAAATTTACAAAATGTATTTACCTTTTCATGTTATTAAATTTGCACTTTGTTTTATATATTAAATACTTACCAAGAAAACTTACTGGATTGTTCTAAAATCCAAATCCAAATCGTTTTGTAAATGTTATTGAAGAACAGATAGTAAAATTTATTTACTCATTCATTCCATTCAGAGTATACGTCAAAATAGAGTATCTAAATGACAAATGTGTAATTGTGGTCGAGAACTAGAGGTGAACTGGGGCACCTGGCTTGTTCAGTCAGAAGAAAGGCAGCTCTTGATCTCAGAGTTGTGAGTTCAATCCCCACGGTGGGTGTGGAGATTACTTAAAAATAAAATCTTAAAAAAAAAAAAAAGGGAAAAAGGGCACCTGGGTGGCTCAGTCAGTAAGCCTCAGACTCTTCATTTTGGCTCAGGTCATGATCTCAGAGTTGTGAGATCAAGCCCCAGGTCAGGCTCCACACTCAGCAGAGAGTCTGCTTGAGATTCCTCCCTCTGCCTGTGTACCCTCCTCAAATAAATAAATAAATAAATAAATAAATAAATAAATAAATAAAATATTTTTTTTTTTAATGAAAAAAAAAAACTAGAGATAAATAAAGCACATGTAGTTCTTTCTGTGTTGAAACTTAGTCTCACAGGGAGGGATACATAAAAATGGTACTAACGTTTATTTCATTTTCAATTATGTTAAAAACTACAAAGAGAAGTAAAGGAAAATGATGTTCTTACACAAGCAACTTTATTTTTATGTATTTATTTATTTATTTTTAGAGCGGGAGAAGGGGGTAGAGGCAGAGTGAGAGGGAGAGAGTGAATCTCAAGCAGGCTCCACACCCAGCGCAGAGCCTGACCCAGGGCTCCATTTCACAATCCTGAGATCATGACCTGAGTCAAAATCAAGAGTCAGACACCTAACTGACTGAGACACCCAGGCATCCCTACACAAGAAGCTTTAGATACAAATGACGCTGGAACGGAAAAATAATATTAGATGTCCTTTCTAAGGTGCCTGGGAGACATATAAATGCAGAAGTCTTACTGGCATTTGGGAATGTGGGTCTAGAATTTATAGGAATGCCATGAGGGAGGTGTCAATTTGCGATTCCTTATTGAGTATCTGCGAATGAGGGCAAGGGAATGGATGTAGTCATTTTCTAAGTAGAGAGGACAATGAGAAGAGGCCCAAATGTAGTCTTGCAGACCCTCAACATTTAACGGGCAGGCAGAGGAAAGTCTGCAAGGGCACTGAGGCAGGAGGGGCCAGTGCAGTTGAAAGGTCACATGGGGACAAGACTCCTGAAGGGAATATGGGTCAGAGTGTTGCTTGTGGGGCAGGTGTGGATGAACTGTCCCAGTGGACCTGCAAGCAGACACCACTGGTGACCTTAGCATGGTTCTAGTTTAGTGGAATTAATGGGGCAGAAACCAGATAGGTGTAGGTTGAAGAGGAAACACAAGAATGAGAATTAGGGATACCACATATAGAAGATTATCTCTCTAAGCTTGTTTGTGGAGGAGAGAAATAAGGTGTTACTTCCGGGAAAATGTGGGTTAACATCTCTGTGTTTAAGCAATTGTCATAGTGGTAATCAGCAGGTGCTTTCTCTTCATTAACAAACCTGTAAAGAAAACTAAGGAAGGGGTGCCTGGGTGGTTCAGTTGGTTGCATATATGCCTCCGGCTTGGGTCATGATCTTTGGGTCCTGGGATTGAGCCCCACGTTGGGCTCCCTGCTACAAGGAGAGTCTACTCCCCCACACCCGACTTGTGCTTTCTCTCTCAGATAAATAAATAGGATCTTAAGAAAAAAACCCAAAACCCATCTTTTTTTTTTTTACCAAAAAAAGATATTTATTGAACAGTTACCCACCACTGGAGTTGACTTAGACATGGAGGGTGTCTCCACCTTCCTGATTTATTTTCAGCCCTTGAGGGCATCATTGTAGATCAAAGCCAAGGCTCCCAGGAAGGTGACATATTCCTGGAAGTTCACCACCTGGTCCTTGTTCCGGTCCAGGTCGTCCATCAGCTTTGCAATGTCAGCATCCTGCAGCTTCGCACCAATGGTGAGCTCTTTCTGGATCAGCTCCATCAGCTCCTTCTTGCTCAGAGTGTTCTTGTCATCTTCCCTGCCCGAGTATTTATGGAAGATGGCCACGAGGAGGCCAATGGTCTGATCCAGGGGGCACGCCATGGCTGGGCACTGGGCTCAGAGCGCTTGACCGGGAGAGCGTCCAGGGACCCACAAAACCCACCTTTTATTTGGAAAAAAAAAAAAGAAAACTAAGGAAAAACGGAAGAGAACTAGGCTCTCACAAAACAGCGACAAATGATTTTATACAAAGTCCAGGTGGTTATGCATTTTAGAAGGTGCGCTACCAACTGAAAACTGAAACCTGGAATCAATAATAGTGACCTTAAGAGCAGAGAAATATGAATTATCTGACAGGTTTAAATTTGTTTTTACATATTTTATTTTGCGCTTGGTATTTATATTTTATAGAACAATGTTTTCATTACCATGTATAATAACTTTATTTTGTAACAATGCATGCAATTTTTAAAAAAGATTTTATTTATTTATTTGTCAGAGAGGGAGTGAGAAAGAGAGGGAGAGAGCGCACAAGCAGGGGGAGCGGAAGGCAGAGAGAGAGGCAACTCCCTGCTGAGCAAGGAGCCCGATGCAGGACTCGATCCCAGGACCCTGGGATGATGACCTGAGCTGAAAGCAGACACTTAACTGACTGAGCCACCCAGCCATCCCAATGCATGGAATTTCTCAAAAGTTATGTGTTCATGTGTTCAATTTTTGTATCTGAGTCAATGAAAACATAAAGTGCAAGAGAGGTGATGTTTTTCCAGGAGAGACCTACACGAGAAACCAGGAACACTTATATTTCCCAGACTGACTCTGGGGTGGAATCTCAGTGAAGCATTTTTGTTCAGGACCAATAGATACATTAAGTTCTTAGGATGAGGGAGAATCTCCAGGCACTTAACATAAATGCTGTAACAAAATATTCTAGCTCTAAGAGAGCTCTAAGTGTATTTGAAGATGAAGATTGAACTCACTTAAAGGCAAAAATAGATGGCTCATTTTGACAACTCCAAGAATGTTACCACCACCTGAGAGGTTTCTCCCATACCAGAGATGCTGTAGCACGGAATGGCCTCCCCTGATACTCTGAAATCTCAGAGAACATGGGCAGACTACTAGAAAAATCTCCCCGAGTATCTTCAGCATCTACAAGCGGTGGCCTTCAAAGGTTGTCAGTTCATGTGCAGTGCTTAATCACTACCACTCCTGCCAAGATCCTGATACTCCTCATTTATTTGTATTTATTCATTCATTCATTCATTCATTCATTCATTCATTCATTCAACAACACATAATTATTATGTGTTGTACATAAAGACACAAGAGGAAAAAAAGCTTATTAGGTAGCAACAGAAACAGAAATTACTAACATGGGAAAATTCATTCACTCTCTTTCTTATCTTAGGGACTCTCTCCAAAGAAAATCCTGAATTTGTCTGATTGATTCTTTATCCTGTGTGTTCAGGATGATGCATTGCCTAGAAAGAAAAGCAGAACTGGAAAGAAGCTAAAGCAAGCCAATGGGATTTTTATGTTGGACAGGAGGGAATATTTTGGGCAAAGAAGTAGGAAGAATGGATCCAAAAGAGCAAGGGTATGCTCAGTGTGCTCACCTGTGCCCTGGGCAGGAGACCTTATGTCTGTCTTTTTCCTTGAACTAAAATAAGGTGACCTCCCCAGGTTAGTGTTGATATATACAAAACATAGGATATTTCTTGAAGTAAAGTTTGTAATTATTATCTTGAGGAAGGTGTACGTGTGTGGACAGAGGGGATGACAGAAAAAATGGAGTAAATGTTAGGTCTGGTGGAAGAAGCAAGATTTGCAAGGATTGTGAATTATGAGTTAATATTGAGTTTTTTAAATTAAAATCACACTGAGTTAGAGAAAATTTCTTATTGATGGCTAAATTTTGACTTAAAGAATATTTTGATTTCTGAGTATTACACTTTCCCCACTTACTAGGATAAAGTAGATGAATCAATAGTAAGTATAATCTCCCTCCCCCAGCCTCCTCATCCTTATCCCCAAAGCTGTTGACTGGCCCTTGGCTGGAGTAAGTCAAAGAATGAGTAGCCCCCATTTTTATTGTAACAGTTTGGGAACATGGACCAGTAAAGAGCTGGACATGCTTTTATAGACAAGAACTAGAAAAGGAGACTGTGCATAATAAAATTGCTCAGCTTGAGTCATAGACCTGGCAAGCTCTCAGCTGATGTATATCGATCTCATTCTGATACTGCTTCTTATTTAAACGATTCCTTCGGTCATATCTACAAAAGAAAGATGGAAATATGTCCAGGCAAGCTGAGGTTTAGGAAGCACCATGGAATAGCACATGTGTTTACAGCCACATCCATCCTAAGTGAGGCAATGCTTAGTATAGGAGAACAATGTCGAGGGAATGGGCTGGAGAATGGGGGGATGTAGTCAATGCCACTTGACTATTTAGAAGGTCACCAAATAACCTTGGTTGAAACATCTGTGAACACTGGGAGAATCTGGGTTAGCTGGTCCAGAAGCCATTCTGTGTCATTCATACATGTATGCCTGTGAATGTGTTTGCCTGAACTGGATGAAAGCTATTGAACTAAAGCAGCAAAGATTTTAGTGCCTTCAAGGAAGTAGTGTATAAAAAGCATTTAGAATACTAAGACTTGGTCAGCTTTCTTTTGTTTGGATATGTTGTGTGGTCTCTTTTTTCTGCCTTTGAAAAACCTTACTCTCTTAAGGCTTGAAGATATGGTACTCTGTTCAGGAAATGGCATGGGGAAGCATCTGTAGAACTCCACTGTTGGTTGTGAATGCTTAAAATCGAGTTGAAATTTTGCAGTTTTGAAAATTTTGGAATGATGTAATGGGCAAAACAATGCAAATCTGAAATATGATGAGATCAAAATATTTCTGCTCTGATTATTTGATGATGTATATACATCAATTTTGTATATTGTATATGTATATGTATATTGTATATGATGTATATACATCAATACAAAAACAGTATTTCCATGCTGTTTTTCATTTTTGGCTTGTCCTTTTAAGGGGAAAATTTCATAAAGATCCTGCCTTAAAGCTATTTTCCTGGAATGTAGTCAAACAGGGATTTTCAATTTTAACCACTAGAGGGCAGAATAACATCAATCACTAGAATGGTTTGCTCAGTGTGTCAACATTAAGAAATAAAGTAACTCTAGGTATTCATATGGCTTAGTGCATCTGGTTAATTAACATAGCACCATGTTCTATTCATCCTTAATGAAGACACATAAAGCTTTTTTTTTTTTTTTTTAACCAGCCCTAAGCCATTCCAATATGCTTCTTAGCAAAGGGACACCAGAGAACAAAGTTATTAAAATCGGGATGGAAAAAAAGTTCCCCAAATTCCCTTAAAAACCAATTATATTGGATGGTGTGATGTGGTCAGATTAGATAGTAAATAACAACACAGAACTGGTATTAGGCTGACATCACCATTTTAAAGCCTGCCTTTCCTTTATTTTGCACTATGTACTTATTCTAGATTCCCATAAATACGTTTGCTGTTTAAATAAAATGACAGAACATTTTTGTACGCATTGTTTCTAAGCTAGTTATCACAATCAATAATGTGATCAGTAACATGGATTTTTCTATACAACATGTGAAAATTAATAAAGAGAAACCTCACCAAAATGGAGCTGGGAGGTTGGACACAGGCAACTCTTCATGCCTTACCATCGCGACCACTCAAAGTCAATTGCAAATCCAATAGGAGGAGATGGACCTTGTAAGCCAATACTACATTACTATTTCAGCAGAAGGAAGAAAACTTTCTCCCCCTGGCAAAAGCCCAGCCAATGAGAGATAAGTCACAATTCAGCCAATGAGAAGCCACTATACTTTGAGCTCCCGGTTTTTTCCAATGGAATTTTGTTTATAACAGCTCCCCCCAGCTGCCCCCATCCCCCCCCACCACTTTTCTCTGTAAAAGTACATTCCTTTTTTTGAAAGGTTCTATTTATTTATTTGAGAGAGACAGCATGAGAGAGAGAGCACAAGCAGGGGGGAGGGGTAGAGGGAGAAGCTGACTCCCCACTTGGCAGGGAGCCCTACGGGGTACTTGATGCTAGGACCCTGGGATCGTGACCTGAGCCGAAGGCAGACGTTTAACCTATTGAGCCACGCAGGCACCCCTACATTCCTTCTTTTTATTCCAAACTTGCCTACTGTTTTGCTATACCTTGCTGTGCCTGATGGTAATTCTGTGCTATTCCTGAATAAATCTATCTATTCTGGTAAATAACTGGCAGTTTTATTTTTTTAAGGTTAACAAACTACTGGGAAAAATTCAAAACAATCTATTCATTAATATTTAACATGAGCCTGGATGCAGGTGAATATCTTTATGTAAATGAATTTAATGGCTGTACAGTAGTCTATAATATGGAATGCCCATTGTTTACTTATCTAATCTTTTATAAGAGCACATTAATTTGGCTGCAATTATCTTTTATAAAAATAATGCTGCAATAAATAAATTTGGGCACACATTTAGGCAGGTGTATGGACAGATTATTTCTGTAATATAAATATCCAGAACTGCATTTGCTGGGTCCAGTGGTTTAAAAATTTTGGTAGATTTTACCAAAATAACCACCCATGTTTGGAAAATTTTACACTTCTACTGTGTATAGGTGTGTGCTCTTAGCCCAACCATCTCCAAACCATCTTGTTTGTCAGATTTTTCATTTATATGTATGATCCCTAGGAAGGCTATCTATGCATATTATCTACTTGTAGCTATATCTGCTTTTGTAAATTGCTTCTGTATTTCTTGCTGACATTGCTATTGCATTGTTAAACTTTTTTGAGTTTTTTATATTGAAAATATTAATATCAATATATTTTTTGAGATTTTTTTATATGTCTTTTTATTTTCTTGATAGTTCTTTACTGGACAGACTTTAAAAAAAAATTTATATATTGGGCTCCTGGCTGGCTCAGTTGTTAAGCGTCTCCCTTCGACTCAGGTCATGATCCCAGGGTCCTGGGATTGAGTCCCACGTCAGGCTCTCTGCTCGGTGAGGAGCCTGCTTCTCCCTCCCCCGCTGTCTGCTGCTCCCCCTGCTTGTGCTCTCTCTGCCAAATAAATAAATAAAATCCTAAAAA